CCAAGCCACCATCCCCGGGGTCGTGTCTTATGCACATATATATATATATATATATATATATATATATATATATATATATATATATATACATGTATGTGTGGGTGTGTGGGTGGTTGGGTGCGGGTATGGGTGCGGGTGTGATAGCCACTTGGTGATTTCAATGGCATTATCTAAGAACGTTTTATGCACCCCGAACGAAAGTCTAGATCCGTCCTCGTTTAGTGGGGGCGAATAAAAGTTTCCGGGGATAGCGGTCCACGTAAAAGAATATAAATCGACACTCGTAAATGCATGCATGGACATTTTCAGTCAACTCACCCAAAAACTACGCTTCATACATTATTTTAGACATGTTAGACATTCATGCATTATTTTAGTGATATGGGTTTGGCGATATCGCACACCAAAAGCAAAAGCTAGCTGGGAGACTGGCGATTCTTCGCCCGGCCTTCTAATAAACCCTACTCGGCGCGTGCGTTCTGCACCAATCCTGACCCTGCTTTGTCGTCAGGCGAACTACGAGGCGTCCGAGTACGGCGTGGAGGTGCAGTACGACGTGAGCCGCGCCGAGGAGGACCTGGAGCGGTCGGTGCGCCTGGCGCTGGGCTACGCCGGCTCCTCCTACAGCGTGCGCGGCTCGCTTCGCCTGGGGCACACGTTCCGCACCACTCTCGACCTCTCGCTGGACGGGTGAGGGCGGCGCCGGCCGCGGACCGGCGTTCGGAGCGACCGCTCGGCACGGGCGGTCACAGAGCCTCCGGGGCGTCGAGTGCTCGGGCCGCGCGGCGTGCCTCTGCGAAGAGATGCGGCGTGCCTCTGTATAGACCGGCGGCACTGCACGCATGATCGGAATGGGCAAACGACGTGGCCAATCAAAGTTTTTCGGTCGATGGTTGTGCTGCTAAGGCCTCTGTTTGGGGGACCTCCTAAATGGCTGGCCTTTGCGAGGATTTCGTAAGATATTGTTACTTCAGTTAATTATCTAGTGCTTGCCCGCTGTGCGTGCATATTAACTGTAGACTGAGTCCACAACGACCCTTACGTTACGCATTGTGATGCGGAACCGTAAGCTGTAACGTGTTAAATATTCAATTTGATACGATGATATGCATAGTGCATTATGGTAAGATATGGCGTGGTATTGGATACGATATGGCATGGCATCATTTGATGTATGGTGCGGTGGTTTGACACTCTTTGATATGATATGTTCTGGCAATAGGTGATTAGGCTGGCGATTCGTGCATAGCAAGACTCATACGCCATCGTCACAGCGCCATATGCCCTTGATTGGTGCTTCGGCAGCCAGCGGGACATTCAGGTGATCTTGGGCGGCTACCGCACGGCCTCCGTGCTGGAGTGGGTGGTGGACCTCAAGTGGGACGCCAACCGAGACCCCACCCAGCGCCTGCTGATGGACTTCCGGCTCGAGGACCCGGCGCCATCACTGCGCAACCTGACAGTGATGGTGGTCTACCCCGTCAACACCGTGCAGCTGTCCATGGACAGGACCATGACAGGTAGACACGCGCTGAGAAGCTGTCGCCGGGACGGCGACGACCTCTGGCAGAAAATGCGCCGTGTGCATTTCAGTACGCTGACCTTTAAAAATGGTTCAGGATGCTGTGACTTTGTCTAACGCGGTATGTTCTGTTATGCATCATAACAAATGTCTTTTAACGCAATTACTCACCTCAGCTACCGCGCGCTGATAGAGTGGCGGGGGCCAATTGCCAGTAATCGTACCGCATAATCTGTCCGTACGTTCTACGTAATATAACGTTCTATCTACTTGTAAGATGAACTCGGTTGACACCGATTTGTTCGTGAATTTATCTGCGCCCAGCACAACGTTCTGTCAACTGATGCCGAGAAATGTGAGGAAGTCAGCGCTCCTACGCCGTGTGAACATCCCCCGCTGACGAGAAGCGCTCGTTCCCCGCCATTGGCTGCCGCTGCACAGCTCTCGCTCACCCCGGTGTCCCGGCGGTCTGTGCAGCCGTGCCGTCCGCCTGGGCCAGGGGCTGGCAGCGGCCCTCCAGCCCGGTCTCGTCGCCTGGCGGACACGACGGCTGTCGTTCAGCGTCGGCTCTGCTCACTGCGGTCAGGCTCGTGGCACCGGCTGCGGTACGACAACCATTGGTGCTGGCGTTCGGCGCCGCCGAGCCGCTGGAGGTACCGTGACGGCCACACCCGGCTGGACCAGCCCGACAGGCAGGTGTCGGTGGACGTGTCGGCCAGCTCGCCCTTCCCCAAGTGGAGGGCCAACGCGCTGAAGTTCAGGTCAGTCTCGCATGGGGTGGCAGTGCGCGCCAGGGCTTCAGATGTGGAACGGGGCGTTGGGAGGTGAGCTTTTCGTTAGTGCTTCGAGATGATGTGTAGCTGGGTGAGGTGCCTGCCATGCCCGCCGAGAGTGAGTGTGCACGGCGGGCACCATCTGGTGCCGCACAAGCAATCCTACCTTATCTACAATTAATCTAAACTGTTTGTTCTCATCGCGCCATCTGGCATTATTTGCGAGCGAGCTCTTCGAAACACATAATTTGGTCGAATTGCGGTAGGCTGCTTTGGCCGCTTCGAAAGGACGCCACTGCGTCCTTCGCATGCCTCCTCAACGTTACGCACACCCACCACGGCCCGTTGGACCTTGAGTCTGATCCGACCGGTAGGCACACGCGGTCGCCGCGTGACCTGACCTCCCAGCTGGACGTGTCGGTGGGCGGCGAGCGGGTGGACCTGACCGTGAGTGGGACGAACAGCTGCCTCGCAGTCTGCGGCTCACCGGCAAGCCTGCGCTCCAGCCTGCAGCGGTGGCGCCAGGTCGACACCTCGCTCTCCTACGGCCGCCGAGCGAGATGAGATTCCTCCAGCTTCGCCCTGGTGAGAGCAAGAAAGACTGCAGTGCTGACATCTGCCGAGTTACTGATTCACCGATTCACGCTGCTTGACTGTTCTCGCGATGGGAAAGATACAACTGAATCTGTTGCGCCATTTCTGTCTCGCTCCGATCGGGTCGCCGGAAAAGATTCTGCGCGTCCGGCAAAAATTATACGCGACGTCACGTATAATTTTTTTCGTCCGGGTCACTGCCAGCACCAGATAGCGCAGAATCCATGAGGTATGACGTCATAACTGGCGTCGACAGCATAGATTCTGCGCCGTCTGTATCGCTGTGAATACAACTCTAGTAGCTGATTTGCGATTGGTGCTCCACGGCAACATCGAGCCACAGGAGGAGGTGCCAGGGTGCCAGGGTGACCGTCTATGTTGTGTGGCGTCTGGAAAAAATCGCATGCAGAAAAGAGATTTCCGGATTCAGTTTTGGTATTCAACTTTCTGTCTAGGAACCATCTTCCCTTCATGCGATTGATCCTATTCATTTGCTTGGTCGGATACGTACAGCCATTAGGTTTATTTTGAAGGACTTGAGTTTACGTCTCAAAATGTCTGACGCAAGGTATTGTGTTAAACTTGTTAAAGCTGTGCTATGCCACGCGGGACATTCGCCACTGACAATGATATTTATGATCGGAGACCGTGGATCGCGGGCCCCTGGCGTGATGGTACATAGAGAAGAACAAACTCTAATTATTTTCTTCATAGTCGAAGCGTTCGGCATCAGGAAATCGAGAACTGCTTTCAGTTTGATGTCTCGCCACATTCGAAGGCGAAAGGCTGTTTTGCTATTTTGCGTGTGTTTAGTTCTTAGTTCTCCCCAGGTACCTGCAGCGGCACACGTACTTCCAATGGTTTGAGAAAAGTGAATGGTTTTAATTGGGCGTCGCCAGTTGACAAACGTCTCGTGATTTGTTGTTTTTTAGAGCACGCCGACCAATAAGCTGACGGCGGACCTAGGCCTTCACGACCTGAGCACCGAAGGCCTGAGGCGGTACCGGGGCGAGCTGAACGCCACCACACCCTTCCAGGTATGCCTGTCGCAAGTCCCACACGTGCGCCATCCTGCACTGCTGCTCCTCTGTTTCTCAGAGTGCGCAATGGCCCGCGGACGAAAACCGACGCGGGTCTGGAAGGCGGCGTCTCTGGAGCGACGGAAGAATGTGGAGGGAATTTTGTGGCGAAGACAGCTATCTGAAGGAATATTTGCCCATGTCTCGAATTGTGACTCCAAATATTATTCTGACATTGCTATATCGATTTCAGGTTTGCATCAGCTCAGTTACTTTTTGGACGGCCAGCTGGGAGGAGGTGAAATGGAGGTGACCGGCGAAAGCAGGGTGGAGAATATCGGTCACAATCTTATTCTAAAGGGTGCGTAATTCACAAGAGCGACTAGTCAGTTGGTGAGAGTTGGTTGTATGCACACACACACACACACACACATACACACACACACACACACACACACACACACACACACACACACACAACACACACACACACACACACACACACACACACACACACACACACACACACACATATATATATATATATATATATATATATATATATATATAGATATAGAGAGAGAGAGAGAGAGAGAGAGAGAGAGAGAGAGAGAGAGAGAGAGAGAGAGGAGAGAGAGAGAGAGAGAGAGGAGAGAGAGAGAGAGAGAGAGAGAGAGAGAGAGAGAGAGAGAGAGAGGCGCGCGTAGAAACACGCTACAAACATTTCCCTTTTAAGAGGCTGTATACAGTTTGAGGGGTATTTCAAATTTCAAAGATCTCTCTAGAAATCTGTCATTGATCGGAAGCAGCTGATGCATTACTGGACCAGACTAAAACAGCTTACATGAAAATGCGCGGACACGAGGTATCCAACTGCTGTGATAGGTGTGCGTGCCCCTCGGATACCGGCAGGTCGCGGTGCAGGTCGCACCGGCCGTCTGGAGGGCTCTCTCGTGGTGGACCAGATCCACCCGCTACAGAACGCACTGACTGCCAAGGTGCTGGTGGACCCCACTGAGGATGGGCGCGCTTTCAAGGTCAGTCGTGCCACCTCATATTTTGTTGTGTTTTTGGTATCGGTGTGGTTTTGGTCTCGTGAGAACGCCTCCAAATGGCTTGCTGGAGTCGAATTTGCCGATCCAATTTGGTTAATTCCTTGATGCCACAGTCCTTGGGAGTCGCCCTTTCATACACAGGTGTGTTCAATGTACACAAATGCAACTGAGCTGGTAAAATGTCGTCACACATCTCAGGTGTTGTATACGCACATGTCCGTCGTCCGTCGTGGCGACGCTGCTGCCACCTGTGGCTGGCCGCTGCAGCAGCGCTTAGCCGGGCGTCGCTGAGTGTCGTCCTCCCGGCCGGCACTAACCAGGCCCGTCTTCCGGCAGGCCTCCGCCGTGTGGCCCGACAATCGCCTCGCGCTGGAGGGTGACATGCACTTCACGTCCGCGAGCGACTTTGGCGTGGGCCTGCAGTTCCTCTCACCGTTCGAGGCCGTCAAGGACGCAGGTCTGATGGTCAAACACAAGTTCGTCCAGGACGCGTGGCAAGACCTTGGGTGGAAGGTTCAGGTACGTCTCTGCCTGGCGGGAAAGGAAGCCGTATGGCCATGACAGTGATGTACAATAAGGAGGTAAGATAACTGATGACTTTGGGTCGCTTACTTGCATTGTTCGCGTCGTGTATGTCTTACGTGCCAGTCGCCTAGGGCATCTGAAAATTAAATCGCAGAAAGATGCTTTCCTGAGGACTCGCAAGCCTAGGAAATTCTAAAGGTGCGTGGTGGGGGGGGGGGGGAGGGGAGGTCAGTGAGAACAAATTCATTACACTGATTTTTACCTTTTTCTAAGTGGCCACTTTGCTAAGAAATGCAATATGCGTGATGCGTGTGTATGGACAGCTAGCCCCCTTTGTTGCGTCTGAGTTATTAACATCCCCATCGGTTACGAGTCCAAGAGTCCGCACATGATAATGACATCCGTAACAGTCCCCGGAGGTGGTACCCGATGAAAATCACCCGGTTCCATGATAAACTGGAGATGCCACTGGTGTCGGTTACCACTGACAACCAGCCACGGTGCCCTGTTGACAATTCCTGACCAGAGGCGGATCCAGAGGGGGGCATGGAGTCTTTCCTCCCTTGGGCCGAAGGAGCACCAAAATCCCGTGGTCAGGGGGCACACAATTCCTCATTTTGCGTCCACATAACCTTTATTTTCAGCACACCAAAGTTCAGGGCCTCGACAAGCGGCCCCAAACCTTCAAGTTCAACGTGAACAATCGGAAAATTGGCCTCCTGGAATAAAGTTGACAAATTCCGGCGGACTGTTATTGTGGAAGATATTTTGTAGATGAAAAAAGAAGAATCTGACCGTAAAGCGTCTGAAATCCGAGGACATCTTTGTGAGGGTGTATGTGGGGGAGCGGCACAGCATCCCAGGGGGCACCACAATGCAGCGTCGCCTCTCCCTTGATGAAATCCTAGATCCGTCCCTGTTCCTGACGATCTACGCTGGTAATTGCTTCCAGCAGTCTTTGGCTGATGGTCTTTTCAGCTATTGGTGACCGATGGCAGCCAACGTCATTGCTGGTGATTCTGCTGGCTGTAGATGACGTCCGGCGCCCATTGGCACCGTTTGCTGCTGCCTGGTGCTGTTCGGTGCCACCTGGTGTCGTCTGGCGGCGTCTAGTGCCGCCTGGTGCCATCTGGTGACCACTGCCGATGACCGGCAGTCGGAGGCGCGCGTGGCCTGGCTGCTCGACAACGCGATGGCCCTGACGCTGGACGCCGACCTCGACTCGCTCAGCGCGTTCGACGCGCGCGCCGAGCTGAGCCTGCCGCTGCCGCGCTGGAACCGGGCGTCGGTGAGCCTGCGGAACAGGCCGCAGCCCGACGTGCGCGGTCTGTCCACCGGCTTCGAGGCTGCCATCGCCGGACATAAGGTGAGCCAGCCTGCTGCAGGCGCTGACGCCGGCGTGTGGACACGTGGGAAAGGGGGTTGGGTTGTTGGATGGACGTCTTGGGATGCTGTGGTGACTGACTCGATGCCTTGCCGAAGCCGGCTTTCTCGTACGGCTGTGGGGACTTTCTCTGTACCACGGCGCGCTCTCCAGCGCTGCTGTGGTGACTGGCTCTGATTTGTGACACATCTCACGAGCGCAGCTCTCAGACTCCCGAGCTGACCAACCAGCTGGTGCAAGTCTGTGGCGCAGCTCTGGCACTACTGCATCGCCTGACGTCGCCCTCGCCGCAGTGCTGGTGCGGCGACCGGTGCCGCCCTGCTCTTCACCGCCGCCGAGGTGACTGACCCCCCCCCCCCCGCGCGCCCTACCGCAGCTGGCGCTGACCGCGGACGGCTCTCTGGGCGTCCTCCCCTCCGACAAGCGGTACGGCACGGTGACGCTGACGCTGCCGGCTGGCCCCGTCCAGCAGCTGACGGTGGCCGCTAGTGTGCAGCGGTCGAAGCCCGGGGTATACGAGACCTTCTTCTCGCCCGTCTGGAGACTACGCGACGGTACCTCGCAGGAGGTGAGCCGCGAGGTGCCACGTTGCTTCGCCCTGGTTATCGCTGAACTTGGATCACGCTCTGTGTCCGTGTAGGACTAGCCCTCAGGTTCTACACCGCTGGCATTTGTATCCTTGCCTCGTATGTCGTTGTATTTCTCCTATTTCCAGATCTTTTTTCGCTAATGGATATGTGTAGCTCTACTGCAAAGAATTTCTCATCACCCTCCTAACCTGCGCCGCCATTGTTGCTGTAGTTCCTGTGATGCTGGCTACGAGACAGCCCAACATAAATGCGTGACTGCAAAGGTGCGAGTCAATTCATTAGTTTCTTATTTTATTGCAGCAAAATTTGTCAGCGAAAAAAGTGTTTAGTTTTTGACAGACAATATTTGCCAACCGACAAAGATCATACTTAACGGTATTATCGGCATTTAACTTGGATTCTCCGGTACATGAATGTGCTATCAATTTAGCGGTCTCAAATGGCCGAGTACATGCAATTACTCTACTTGAGTGGGCTTGACCACGTCGCCTATGCGCATAACGTATAAAAAATCACCCATGTATTCAGTCGGGCTGAACAGCCACCGGCTAAACGGCAGCTGCATGAACATGCGAGGCGAGACTATTTGTTCAACAGGAATGAATTTGCTTAGGTGGTGGAAGCAGCACATTAGCAACAAGCTCAGAAGGTCATGCTTGCCCAGAAGGTCTCGAATTCCTTCCTGCAAACCATTCTGACAACATGCCATGTTACGTGAAGCAGACACGGCCGCGCGTCATCTCGAGCCGCGTGTGGCGTCGTGCGTCGCTGCACATGACTGACCGACTGGCTGACATGACAGACTGGCATGACTGACATGACATGACAGGCGCGTGCCGTGGCCTGCCCGGCTGCCAACCACCGGCTGCCGCTTCCAGATCCGCCTGACGAGCGTGGTGGATCTGGGCACGTCCGGCGCGGGCTCGCTGCAGGCCAACCTGCGCCTGCTGACGCCGTGGCTAGACATGCTGTTCCTGGAGCTGCACCACGCGCCCACCTCACCGGGCGACTTCGTCACACGCTTGGTGGGCTCGCTCGGACGGCAGAGTGTGCACCTCAGGGGACAGCTGATGGTGAGGCGCGGAGAGGTCACCGATGGGCGGCGGTAGTGTCTGCACTTGATACGGTCGTGCTTTATCTATTAACGCGAAGAAGCGCTGGTCGGAGACTCAATGAACACATAGATCAGCGTGATTAGAAACTGCAGTCTCATCTTATCCCAGCTTTGTATATGTTGGGGATAATCTTTCGGCTCTGAGTGGTCTCAGGTCTGGGCATTGACCAAAAATGCTATCAAACAATCGGATCCACGCGCTCAAGGATTTGCGCATTTGTTGGCCATGCTTTTTTTGTTGTCTATAGTCAGACTTGAGGAAGACCTAAGGCAAAAACAAACCTGTCCCCAGTATACTTTGGACATGATGAGACTGGTTTCTTATCACTCTGCTTTATGCAGTCATTCACAGCTTAATTTTAATGGTTATTTGTGACTAGCAACAGCGAACCATGCGCCCGTAACGTGATTGCAGTACTTAATGCCTATATGCTTGGAGTGTTTGCTGCAAATGCTACACTTCCTTTCATTCAGGGTCTGAGAGAACAGAAGGGGTACAAGTTTCTGCTGAACACGACATCTAATATCCAGTTCATACCCGCGTTCGATGCTATGACAACGGTAGTAACCTACCCCAGTTACCGGATGATGTTTTCTGCTTGGACGCCAAAAGAGGTCAGTTTCCTGTGCTTGCCACTCTCCAGGCTCGGCCACAGGCAGCTCCTTTTGAACGGCATGCATGAGTGGGAACGTATTTGTATATCACCTAAACTTGGTTATTGACTTCTACGCGACAAGAAGTCTCTACATGCTGATGCAATTCGAGACCATCCTCATGCTTTATTGTTCCAGCATATACGCCCGTCTCCGTTTCGATGTTTGTGTGACACGCCGTCGCTGGACGATCGTTCGCATTCGTCGCATGATAAAACTCCATGACCCGCCATTCGTGTGTTGTGTTCGATCTGAGCCCGACCACGGTGCCGCGTCTGACGCGCCGGCCGCGTTTCCAGTACCGTCTGACGGTAACGAGCGATCGCAGCACGGCGGCCAGCACAGTGATCGAGACCGAGCTCCGGACGCCACTGAGCGGGGTCGAGCTCGTCAGGGCCAGGTGAGCGGCGCCAGCTCGACACTAGCTGGCGCCGGCCGAGCGGCTGACAGCGCCAGCAGAAGGCACTCTGAAGGGGTCACCGTCTGGTTCGCTTCTCTTATGCGGAGCTATATCCCTTCTAAATCACCCACGCAAAATTAGTAAAGCAGGCGTAAATGTCGTAAGGTCACAATTGTTTCGGTTGCAGAGGGTTTTCACATTTTTGCAGCACTGTTATCATAACGGCATGGACGACTAGGAACATAAAAAGCGCGTATTGCCGTCTAAGGTGGGTGCACGTGTGCGTCTGCGCGTGCCGACATCGGCGTCACGTGTGCGTCTGCACGTGACGACACTGTGTCATGTGTGCATCTACGAGAGTCGACATCTGCGTCGCGTTTGCGTCTGCGCGTTCCGGTATCTGCGTCACGTATGCGTCTGCGCGTGCCAGCATCTGCGTGGCGTGTGCATCTGCGCAAGCCAACATCTGCATCAGACGTGCGTCTGCGCGTGTCGACCTCTGAATGGCGTGTGCGTAAATCGCGTGCTCGCGACAGGGTTGAGCTGGAGCAGCGCTCCGAGGAGCGGGCGCTGTCGGCCGAGGTGACTCTGCCCAGCCGCGAACAGATCAGAGTCAGCGGCACCCTGGCGCCCATGGACCTCCGGCTTTCCGTCACGACACCCTTCGACGGCATTCGGTGAGAACCGGATGGGTGAGGCGGAAGGTCCGCGCACCGGCGATGCGGACACGGATGGGCGTGGGGAGATCGAAACAATGCACCTGCCCCGGACGTACTTAAGAGAGGAGTTTTGGGTACAGCCGGTAGGGCAGTCGGCTTGTTCTCTTGTGCTAAACTGACACAAATGTTACGCTGACGTCACTTTTCAGAAATATTTTTACGCAGTTTATTTTTCTCCATGAGCTCACTCCGTGTTCCATCATGTTCAAAGGGTATGATAAATATGGTGTATTTATGTGCGTAGCAAAGTTACGTAAAACAGTAGGTGAACAGCTAACAACACGATGCAGTGCATCTGTTCTTGTTAATAATGTCCCTGTATCGATATTTACAGGACCGGGTCGCTCCGCCTCTCGATGGGGGTCGTCGCTGAGCGACTGAACCCCGTTCTGCGGATATCTTGGGACAGATACAAGGTTGAACTGATCGGTACCGCTATTCCCGGTGAAGATGACAGCCGTCCGACGCAGGTGACCTCAGTGTTATGTGTGACAGCCATGGAATATTTAACCAGCTATAGCAATTCGCACCGGGTGGGAATGGGCAGATGTCATTGCCAACTAGTAAGCTGCATCATTAAAATTAAAGTAATACGATAAGACGCACTGCCGTGCAATTTGATATCCACGACTTGTGAATGAAAAATAAATGATCGAAGGATATGTCAGATCACTGAGACATGCCATCATCTCTGAAACTCTGCAAAATTTCACGACGCCTGCACGCTTGTGGTTGGTGCGATGTCGTCCGATGACTATCGGTGGAACATTAAACCTTTTGGCAGGACATTGTTATCTCGTGAAAGTCCACTAGCGGGCACGCAACCTTCGATTGGGTCGATGCCTCTTGAATGGAATACAAGACCAGCGATATATGCTTACCTTGCATGGTCATTCCAATCATGTAAAAGACGTTGTCTAGCTCTAAATCTGATCCAGAGCAGGATTTTTTCCTACTTAACTCCGAGAGTCCCGTGCAGGTTTTCAACTTAATGTCCCCAGTTTACGGTTCACCAGTAAGCTCACTTGGAGGCCATTGGCTGCCAACAAGCGTCAGTCAAAATCAACTATATTCGATCCGAAGCGTAGAATGTTTTGCTTTCCTTTTGTTTCGTGACCGTAGTTCAGTTTGGAGCCGAGTACTGGGGGGTCTGGTGACCCTGGTGACCCTCCTTAGACGTGAGGGTCACCAGAGACGCGAGCGGGTATAGAGTCCTCTCGGGGAAGGGCAATCCATACTAACCAGACATTGTTCACGTAACCATTGGAGAATATGTGACAGGGGGCGGGCGTGAAGCGTAACCACTCTTACAGCAGTCGTATTCCGATTTGTGAAACACGGAAGACCAGTAAAATTGCTGCATTGCTAATCGCACCATACTTGTTTCTGGTATCCGCGAGAAGGTTCGCCTACCACGATTTAAGACATCGCGTGACCTGCAAGAACGGCACGGATCACCCACTTCACACTTCAGTCTTGGGAACATGCTCGCCGCTGTGGCGTTAACTCGGCCTCCACTAAGTCCTCGAACGCTTCAGGTGACGGGGTCACTCCTCATCGACGTTCCCGTGGGTCCGCGCGTCACCGGCAACTTCCAGCTCAGTGAGCACGCCGGCTCGCGAGGGCTCGTCTACGACCTGACAGCGGCATCGACGGTCGATCAAAACAGCTACCAGATGGAGGGGCAAATCTTCACCGGCGCGCAGAAGGCCGGCTTCGACATCCGGGTAAAAACAACGGCCAGTGGCAGAATTCACTCTTCCGCTTCCGGCCTGCAGCAATATCTGTTCACCTGGTTTGTGTAGCTTGTAAATGTGTATGCGTGTGCTCAAACGTTGCCGCACACATCTCATGCCACTGGTAAGGACAACAAAGTATATATATGCCGGTCATAACTTAAAATCCAATTGCATCGTTGATTGGAAGGATATTAAAACAAAAGAGGGTGGTAGTCTGGGCCATCACGTGAAGCCCGTAACTTTGAAAACGGTCACTTGTGTAAATAGGAACATTGATATGTTGCACCACTGCCTCTATGATGTATGAATGAGGAACTTGCGTAAAGGATCGACCTCAGCGCAGCTGAATTTTAAAAACATGCGTCAAAGATTACGATGTTTATCATTAATTTCACGACATACTTGTGTTGCAAGTCGTTCGATCGTAACCATACAATGCTGCGAATATTCAGCATGGAAATCACGGCGATCTTGGTCTCAGTGACGCCAAAGGTGACTATTCATTGAGTCAAATAGCTACGCTGAGTCTTTCGCAAATGTTTGTTCTTTTTCCAGTCGTTATTTACATACTTACGTCTTCGCCTTCGATATGCTATTGTTCTAACGTTATACTTTGTAGAATGTCCAAATATTCTGAACCAAAATTCTCAACTTTAGTTATGAATTATGCAGATTGAGAAATGAATGCATGAAATGGGCAATTAATAGAATAAAAAACATGACCACAGATCAGTAGAATCGCCTTAAAGTTACCTTAATCACCTAAGCACCACCTTGGCCCGTGCTGTCATAACTTAGCACCAGTTTGTCCCTGTCGTCGTGGCTAAAAGCCAGTAACAGCGGCAGGCCACCGTCACATGTCTCCCCACCCTGTCGTCATGGCTAGAGGCCGGTAACGGCGGCAAGCCACCGTCACATGTCTCCCCACCCTGTCGTCCTGGCCAGAGGCCGGTAACAGCGGCAAGCCACCGTCGCATGTCTCCCCACTCTGTCGTCCTGGCTAGAGGCCGGTAACAGCGGCAAGCCACCGTCAGATGTCTTCCCACCCTGTCGTCATGGCGAGAGACTGGTAACAGCGGCAAGCCACCGTCAGATGTCTTCCCACCCTGTCGTCATGGCGAGGGACTGGTAACAGCGGCAAGCCACCGTCGCATCTCTCGCCACCCCACTGACGCGGCCAGGGTCACCATGACCAGCAGCAGGGACGACAGGCTGGTGACACGTGGCCCTCCGCCTTTCAGACGACCTCCAGTGACCCCTCGGCGCACATATCGGCCGCGGTTGTCGTCACGGTCAACGCCGTGCCCGGCGTGGTGGGGCTTCGCGTCCAGCTGAACACGCCCCACGAACCCATCCGAGACGTCTCGCTCAGCGTCGAGTACAAGTAAGGAGGACGCAGTGCTCTTGTGCGCACGTACTGTATTCTGCAGCGGTTGCAAAAGGGGACGGTGCTCTTGCGCGCATATACTGAGTTCTGCAACCGTGGGTGAGCCGCAGGCGCTCGCTTCAACAGAGACGCGAAAGCGGTGATAAACTTCGCTTCCATCATATATACCTAGTCCCGTTCTTCCAAGGATGGTGCTCCGTAAAGGTGATTAAGAGGGTCAAAACAGCTTGTAAAAACAGCTGTTTTGTGCAAGGGTTATATAAGGAATAACGACAACAGTTTTGTGCAAGAGTTAAGTGGCTTCAGCGACTTATTGACATGAGCCCGACATTGTGCGGCCAAAAAAGTACGGATGCATGGTCTTTCGGAAGAGTTATAGAGTTCCTCTCATGGCCCTTTCCCCATGTTATATATGAAGGCCACCTGCACACAGAAGCCCCGGCATTCCAAACCACATTCGGATAAGTGTCTGGCGTCCGGAGGCCACGGCACGCCGTGCGTGCGCGACGCGCGGGCGAGGCCTCGGCCGGCTGGCGGTGTGGCGGCGGTGGCGGCGGTGGCGCTGACGGCGTGCGCACGACGCCGCCAGGACCGGCACCGACGGCCGCCAGCTGGGCGCCAAGCTGCGCCACCCGCAGCTGACGGCGGAGCTGGGCTCGCGGCTGGCGCTCGTCTCCTGGCGCCACTTCCACGTCGGCCTGAACGGCAAGCTGAACATGGGTCAGCTGGACCTGCGCCGGTCGGTCAGGTCAGTCGATGTCCGAAGAGGCGGCGCTGCACGTGGCCAACTGGTGTTACATGCGTTGTCAATAACGGACTCCACGACTCCGCTTGTCGATGCCTAGGTCCTTGAGACGCTCTGTTGTACAGGTCATGCGTAAAGCTGATCTTCCTTTCAAGCAGGGTATAAAGTTGTTCATAATAATTCATTTAAATTATAGTGCTCCCTTGGCGTGTCGGCATAAAAATTACTTTAACTCTCATATCTATCATATTTTCGCATCACTTGATGTAATACTAGTGGCAAGCAGTAATACAATATTCGATAAGTGGCAGTTTCAAACGAAGAAGTGCCAATCTGCCGTCAGGAGCGTGCTTAATGCAAGACGTATGATGCATATGTCACATTTATTTATGCATTCCCGCACTTTGAAAGCCTTCTGTAGTAGATCAGTGCCGGTGAGCACGGCTGTCCGGATGATGCTGTGGGTTTGCCTCGGCCTCGAGCAGTCCGCGGATTGTCGGCGGTGTGGCAGTAGTCACACTGCGTGTGTGCCCACTCGCATGCTGTTCAGCAGCCCGTCAGCCAGCGGCGCCGGCGTCACGCTGGGTCGGCTGGGAGCTGGCTTCGGGCGAGGCGCTGGCCGGCTGGGGCCGCTACCACGTGGAGGCGACGTACGAGCTAGCCCGCGCCGGGCTCGACGCCTCGCTGCTCGCCGGCCGCGATGCCGGACGAGACCGCGAGGCGCCGACCGACCTGCGCCTCGGCCTCGACCTCGACTGGTCGGCGCGCGGCGCCATGGGCCGCGCGGTGCTCAGCGCGCACGTGGCAGACAGCGCCTACACCCTGGACGTGGACGTGAGGGCACGGTCCGCGCCGCCCGGCGCCGGTGGCGGGGCGCTGGCGATAGAGCAGGGTGGAATGGTGTAATCGTGTCTGACGCTCACCGACGGACTAGACGCAGTTGTAGAATGTTTGTACAAGGCCCGAGAGCAGCGAACCTAGCTGATCACAGATCGGCGCGTGCCAGCTTACATGATCGGATACATTGCGCTCACCCCTGACTGTAGGCTCCGACCGCCCCCGTGTCACGATCAGACAGCAGCTGTCCGCGATCGTGACGTCACGGGCAGACGGCGGCTGACACGGGGTCGCGCCCCGGCACCCGCACGCCGTGTCAGACCGGGTGCCGCGGCCTGATCGCTGCCCGCCCGCCCGGCCGGCGCTGACCACCGGCTCTGCCTACCCTCGCAGTACGCGGTGCGGAGGCCATACTCGGGCGCCCTGCGTCTGGTGCGTCGCCGGCTCGGCTCCGAGTGGGAGGTCACCGCGCGCGGCTCGCTGACGCCCCGCGACAGACGCTGGGACGCGTCGCTCAACCTCACGCTGCCCATCGACGGCTACAAGGCCGTGCGCATGGATGCCGAGTTCACTCAGCCGTCCAGCGCCGTGTATCGGGTCAGGTGAGGCCGACCTCCAGCGCCGTGTATCGGGTCAGGTGAGCCTGACCTCTGCTGGGCAACTGGCTGAATGGGTCAATGGGTGCTTCTCGTCATCCGTTGGTTATGTTTCTCCTTGTCCATATCTCTTATTTTATTCATTTCCCTCACGTTTTGCGCCAATGCCTTCTCCAATTTTCTCCCACCTCTCGCACCCCATGTTTCATTTGAACTACGCTCAAAGCAGCCCATAACACCTGTCGTTCGCTGTGCACGCACGAGCCTGACCACGCCGCCTCAGTTACGCACGTCACCCGCAGGACAACGGCCAAGATTGACCCCGAGTCGAGTTTCTACCAGCGCACTTCGCACAGGCTGGCTGTGAACGCAGACCTCAGCAGCCTGCCGGCGGTGAGCGGCGAACTCAGCTACCTTCACCGCGACCTGGACGATGACCTGGAGCTGAGGAAGTTCACCAGCCAGCTCAGCACCACGTACAGCAGGTACACGATGCAGCGGGCCGTCTGCGGCAGGTGCGGTTGGACCATACGCAGCAAGGGCCGGGCCCGGTGTCTTTCTTTGGCTTTCCACATCACTCACAATTAAAAGTTGTGTGCTTATCATTAACAATGCTTGCCTATTTGTGTACCTCAGCCAAGAAATGGGCTTGAATCTGAAAGGAAATCTGGACTCCGAAAACTACTCTGTAGCGGTCCTTCAGTGGACGGAGGCGCTCAACAAAAACGGAAGACTGGAGATTACAACAACGTTCCCGGCGATCGAAGACTTTTTGGCCCAGTACGGTTTTGAGGTAAGTACGAAGACAACGCGAGGCCAGCTTTCCTTGTAGAAGCCAAGCCAGCCAGCCACCCCATTCTTTCTCTAGCAGTGTTATTTTCTTCCATTGCATTAAACGATTTTGGTGAGCTGCCTCACCGCTTTCAATTTTCAGGATTTTTGTCCATTTTTGCCTGTCCTTGGAAACATTTGTTTAGCATTGCTTGCTGACAGGCCACTGTAATATTCCATTTCAGAAGCAATGCTTCATTTCATTTTCATACCACCGTGTAATTACTATTCATTCTAGAACAACAAAATATTGCTTTCCTTTTACACTGTCATGGAATGTTTAAAGTTCTTCTTTTCTGCATGCAAACCACAAGCTCCATCGCATTTCAACGGCGACAATAATGTGCTAAACATTTATAATTCGCACGTGCCGTTGCTGGCTTAACCCGACACCATGGACTGCGTTGCGCCGCGTGGTGGTTATTTGAAACAGGCCATGCACAAGGCGGCTTGATTTCCCAACCGTAATGTCCATCAGACAGCTGACTGACTCTAACGCGACGCGGGATTGGCGTCAGAGCAACCAGTGTTCGTCGAAGGAACATGAAGCCGCCAAAAGCGTTAGCCGGTTTGACCACATGGGTTCAGGGAAGTT